GGTTGCGGGCCTGGGCCGGGCCTTCCGCCCGCGCCGCGCCTCTCCCTTTCTCCTGAGTCTCTGCAGAAGCTGGGTCACCGCGGGGGCTGGCGGTTTGGGCCGGCCTGTCCCTTCCTTTTCAACTCGGATGTCTTCTTAACGACTTGGAAGCGTATAGCCGAATTAGAAGGGAAACTTCACATGTAATAAATTACCCGGAGTTATTAGTGGAGCTAATAATCGACGGTCCGCCTTTGTTATTGTCTCGTTACTTAACGAGGGACTGCGGACTCTGCTCCTCTCCTTGAGTCACCGTATTCTGTCGACAGACAAAGCAGATTATTTATGAGACAGCCGTCATTAACCATGAAGAAGCTCTGCAGTTCCAATAATTAAATAATTGGGCTTGGGGTATTTTCAGTGGTGCGTCCTACTGGGCCCTGTGTTCAGTCCCTAGTGTAAGACACACCTGCAGAAAGCGTTTTTAAGTTATAGTATAGCATTGATGGTTTTCTTCGGGTTCAGAGTTGAATAATAATGGACGGAGAATTAAAATTTTGACACAAACAGTAAGTCTTGCTTTATGGTTGGTGTGTGTTTTTCGTAACACTTTTAACCTCCCACTTGTCTCTGATTTAAAGTTGATGTGTGTGTCCAGCTTGCTGGGAGTTACCGATCATCTTCGTGGGAAAATCATGAAGTCCCCCTGTGTCGCTGCTCTGATGCTGGCCGGGCTGATGTTCCTGATGTGGCTCCCGGGGTCTCTGAGCTGCAACAAAGCGCTCTGCGCCAGCGATGTGAGCAAATGCCTCATCCAGGTAGGACTGAGTACAGCTGTGAGCGTGTAGGAAGTAGGTAGCACACAGGTGCAAAGGATGTGTGTAAAGAGTGGTGTGCGGCCTGAGTGTTACGTGAGACCCTGAGGTACCAGGCGAATGGCGGTGCGCTGTGGATTTGTGCCTCCGGTCAGATTCCGGAAGTTCTGTACTGGTGGTAGCATCCTGCAAGCTGCTCTTTGGTGACAAACACTCTGTTTGGATGTGTAAGTTAGTTTATACAGCAGAGTCTTTTTTTTTTTTGGTTTTTTGAGACAGGGTCTCACTATGTAGTTGAGACTGCCCTGGAACTCACGATGTAGTCCAGGCTGGTCTCAAAACTCACAGTGATCCTCCTGCCTCAGCCTCCTGAGTGCTGGGATTACAGGTGTGTGCCACCACACCCGGTTTATAGAGCAGAGTTTTAATGACTGTATGTTTAGAAACAAAATTAGCCAGCCATTTAACAGGCAGTTGTATCCTAAGTATGTATTAGTTTTCTGTTGCTGTGTGACAAATTACTCCAAAAATGTAGCAGCTTCAGTGCAGCGAACAGTATCTTGTGAAGTTTCTGGGGAGCAGTTTAGCTGAGTGGTTCTGGCTCAGGGTCTCACAGGCTTCCCACAAAGAGTTGGCTGGGATTATAGCTTCCAAGAGAGCTAGAAATGATGGCCATTCCAGTCACCAGAGCCTGCCTACTAATTCCAGCAAGCCTTGCTTCTCATTTCTCCAAGGAGAAAAGTTTGGCCAGGTTCATGTAGCTGGGAGGTAGTTGTGGAATTTTGTCTCTGGCTCCACAGTTCATGGCCTTTCCACTAAACGTGTTGGTCATTGTTCTCCATGAAGTTGTGATACTTAGTCATGTCTTCATGTGTCCCATGACCACCTTCTCTTTTACCGACCAGTTAGACTGTTGGCAAGCTTTCCAGTATCAGCCTCCCTTCTGTTTACTTGCTCTGGGCCGAAAAGCCTGGTAACTACACATATGGTTGGTTATCATTTGCTAAATGCCTGGGGCCAAGGGGCGGGGAAGGTAGCTCAGTGGTGACTCACCTGCCCGGCAAGCGAAACGTCCTGAGTTCAATCCCCACTACTATAAATAAATAAATCTTGAAAGCATGTTTAAATAAATTTTCTTAATTAAAATAAATGCTGGGAACCATGATGTTTCAGATTTGGGGTTTTTTTTTGATCTTGAAATAGTTGCATTAATCTTGAGGGATTCAAATCTAAATATAGATTCATGTATGTCTCTTATCTACTTCATACACATAGCTTGAGGGTGGTTTTATGTGTTTTTTTTTGTACAGTGCTTGCATTTTGCCTGAGACTCATCCTATGAGGTCAGTTGTGGAATTTCCACAGTGACGTACATCATGGTGCTACTCAACAAGGTTTGGAATTTGGGATTAGATGCACTCAACCCGTGTTAGCATTTGGTTTGAAACATGAGTCAGCTAACTCTTAACTGTAATCCTCACTTGAGGGTAATTGCATGTATCTACCAGAGTGGTAATTATTTTGGTAGACTGAAAGCATTGTTTTATTTCTGACATTTTGGTCCTTTTTATCAAGAATTGAAATTCTGGTTGCCCCCATGTATTATGGCTTATATCTAGATGTATCCCCAAAGCCTCATGCATTCATAGGTGGGGCTGTTCAACCGTGGCTGGATCGAGGGTGTTTGAGAACTAAATTAGTCCACTGGCGCAGTGCTGGGTGTGGAGAATGGGAAAGCCTGCCAGGCAGCAGGCTGGTAACCTGTATGGGTACGAGGAGAAGGAAGGCTGACTGCTGCCGCCGCCTCCTGTTACGGACCGTTTCTCCGCTACTGTGCTCCTCTACCATGCTGCCCTGCGTTGGAGCCAACAACTATGGACTGAAACTTGAACAAACTGGGAGATAAAATAAGCCTTTCCTCCTTAATTTGTGAGTGTCGGTATTTTGTCTCACAGTGAAAAAGTTAGACTAAGACACTGTCTCATACTCTGATAACTTTTCTTTGAATTTCAAATCCTTTAACTGGAGAAGTTGTTGGGAGGTTGCTTGTACACTTTCTTCTGTGGACATTGTCAAGTATGAATGGAGGAGAGTATAATGAACTCACAAGGTAGATCAGTTACTAACTCACAGATACCCTTATTTCATTTATACTCTTCCAAACCACTTATCCTTGCTCTTTTAATTTCAAGACAATCCTTGATTCTGTTTTACCCATAATGCTAATGTGGATCTCTAACAGACAAGAACTCCGTAATATAAAGCTGTTAGACTATATGACAGTTTAAAAATTAACAATAATTCTTTAGTCATCTTATTCTGCACATGAAAACTCCAGTTGAATGTGTCTCCTTAGATACATGCTGGCTCTGGGATCAGTCATGTGCACCTGAGGTGCATTTGTGTTGTGGCCAGATAGGAAATTTGTGTCATTTCCCAGGTTGTTCCAGTGCGGCTTCATTATTAAAAATGATGCCTCATAACCTTTGCTCTATTTATGTGTAGGTAGAAATTCACTTACTCAGAGGTCCCCAACTTTTTGGCATCAGGGACAAGTTTTGGGGAAGACTACTTTTCTATGAACAGTGAGAGCAAGAAGTTTGGGATGATTAAAGTGTGTTACATTTATTGTGCGCTTCATTTCTGTTATTATTATATTGTAATATGTAATGAAATGATTATAAAACTCAGCATAATACAGAATCCATGGGAGCTCTGGACTTTCTTTCTTGCAGTTAGATGGTGACTTCGTGATCTAATTTTGGAGGCCGGGGATTTAGCTCAGTGTTTCCACTGCCTGCCTCACAAGCGCAAGGTCCCAAGTTTGATCCCTGGTACCAAAAGAAAAACAAAAAAAAAAACATGATCTCATTTTGGTTGCTGCAGAAAACCCTGCTTCACAAAGATAGGATGTTGGAAATGGAAGCAGGCTCGTTAGTGTTTTTGTGGCTTTCCCAAGATATTCTTTCTGCCTTGACTTTAATCCAGAACGTATGGAGATCTGAAGTTGTCTCCAGCATATCTGTACCTCAGCCCACTGATGCTTTTTTAGCATGGGCAAAGTTGATTCACCTGGTTATTCACAAGTGAGTCATGAATCCATTCTTTGGGAGCGTTTTGTGTTGGCAAATAGAGCTCACACCCTTTTGGAAGTGGATATAGGTGATCATGCACCGGGTGGGAGAAGGAATGCCCTGGCTCAGTCTCTTTCAAAATCTCTGCTAATGTTTGAAAGCTGTCCTAAATCCCAGTGTTCATTTGTTGCCCACATAATTCCAGTTTGGCCTTGAATGCAGCCACTTTATCCGACAGCTTGAACACAGAATCATTCTCCTGTGAAGTAACAGATTGAGTTTACTGAGCAGGTTGATTATGTCCTATGAGTAAGCAAATTTTGTGTCCCATTCTGTTTCACTGAGATGTGCTGCTGGTGGTGACTGTTTTTCTAAAATAAGTTGGATTCAACTTAAAGCCTGCCACTGGATGCAGCTTACTCTTCCCTTGCCACTCATTGATAGTGTTTTACACTTGATCTTAGCCAAAAGTAATCGTTGATAGTGTTTTGAAGTGAGTCTGCCAGCAGTCATTTATGATGCTGTCTGTGCAGTCAACCCTCTCTGCTATGTTAATCTATATTTGCAGCCTCTCCCCAGTGCTAGCACCACTGTCTCAGCTCCACCTCTGGTCATCAGGAGCACACAGTGTAGATCCTTCACATTTGAAGTTTGCAGTAAGGTTCATGCTCCTATGAGAATCTAAGTGGCTGCTGATCTGGTAGGAAGCAGAGCTTGGGCTGTAATTTGAGTGGTGGGAGATGCTCCATTGCTTGTCCTGTTGCCCACGGCTCACCTTCTGCTGTGCACACCAGGCTGATGCCAGATCCCAGATTGGCGACCCCTAGTTTAAATCCCAAGGTTTCTTTGTTTGTTTGTCTGTTTGTTGTTCCCACTATGTAGTTTAGGCTGGCTTCAAACTCATGGCGATCCTCCTGCCTCAGCTTCCCCTGTGCTGAGATTATGGGGATGCACCACCACACCCACCCCAAGGTATTTTTGCCTGTTGTTTTTGTCTTTTTTGTTTGTCGTTGTTGTTTTCTCCCTGTGGTACTAGGGATTGAACCCCATAGCCTTCACACTGAGCTGTGTCCCCTGCCCTTTTTTATTTTCAGACAGGGTCTTGCTAAGTTACCCAGCCTGAACTCAAACTTGTAATCCTCCTGCTTAAGCTTTCTGGAGTTCTGGGATTACAGATGTGTGCCACCACACCTATCTTTTTATTATTTTTTGACTCTCCAAGTTTGTAACTTCTGTTCATTACAATAATTACAAATTATACTTTATTTAAAATGCTTTGCTTTTAAAGAGTATTTTAGAGACAGAGCTTTGGGTGAATATTGGTAAATACAAAGGTTTTAAAAATTTTGTCTTAGAAAAAATTTTAGTTTAAAAAATTTAAGGCAAAGTATTTAAAAATAATGAATACTGTAAGTGTAAGAACTGGGAAAACAGATGAAACTGCATGTAATGGGAGAAGCTGGGACTTGGGTTCTCTGTCCCTGGCTCATGAATGCTGACTGTCAGAGAGCCCACTGTTTCTGCATGGCCAGGACAGATGTCCCATCCCTGTCCTGGGAGTGGTGGACACATCTATCCTGGTGCAGACCAGAAGATGCTTTGGGTTAAAAATATCAAAAGTTTGAGTTTCGAGGATTGCCTTGTTTGTTTATTCATGAACACTTTCTGGACATGGAATTGCAGGGTGAGTCTTTCCGCTGCTTGGCTGGTGGCGTTGACTCCATTGCTCCGCAGATTACGTCCTGTTCTGGCCTTCTTGCCTTTGTTCCTTTTTCTACGGCTGTGTAACAAACTGCCCCCAAATCATGGGGTGAAAGCAACACTTGTTCTGTTCAGAGTTTGCATCCTGTGCCAGGCTCCCAGGGACAGCTGATCTGTGCCCCACAGTCCGAAGGCAGGGGGTGGGCGGTTGTCAGGTGGCCCTGTACG